GTGTTTCTAGGTCTTGAGCTAGAAGAGTTTACTTTTAAGCGCGTAATTGTGAATGATGTAAGTATCTCGGTAAGATAGATTATTTATAAAGAATACTTGCCAAAAATAACATGATAAAGAATGATTGAAAAAGGCAGTAGACATCACAGTACCAACACCGGTTGACGTAGTAAATGCATGTATAATAATTGTATTCGCGCCTGAAACTAAGCGGTGTATTTAAAAGCAAAAACTAGTGGTCTGGTACTTATTTTGGCGTAGAGTTGTTTTCGTTCAAGGAATTTATACAAGGATTGCGATTTATTAAAAAAAAAAAAACTTCTAACCTCTTTTGGCAGCTGGAATTACCTGAACTCTTATCATATATCTTTGACTTCAAGGTTTAGAGATTTAGCTTCCAATAAAAGATTTTTTTAAACTTACACCGCAACATTAACATGATAAAACTACAGCGTCCTTAATCCCATTCTTGCCAAAAAGTATGAAGATTTTTGAGTAGCCAGTAATGTAATCACGAAAAATGGGTTGTGGATACATTGGTGGTTTGCTACATACTTGTCACATCACATAAACTTATCTATGTCTGGCAGCAATCAGTTAGACGAAGACTCTAAACATCTCTCCCGGTACAAAACATACCGATCTCCAATGGCATGTGCTTTTAAGTGAGTCTGGGCAACAAGGCAGCCTCAAAAATCAATGTTCTTTGTGAATGTAAGCAGTTCAGAGAGCTTCTCGTCAAAAGCTACTAGCATCTACACTACAAAATCAAGCTTAAATTATGGTATATCTCACCTATGATCTGCGAATAAAATATTGTGTATTCATACAGAACATTACTGACATATCACTTGCACGGCATGTGAACTTAGTGTTTAAGCACAAACATAACAGTTGAAAGACGGAAAAAATGTTTCGACTAAAATGTACTACATATCCCGGTGTGTGCACACTCATTTGTACATCTTCCCGAAAGTTGAGAAATTGTGGTTGATGAGTCAATCCACCCTAAGAAATGTGTTGAAAGATGTTCTCAAACGAATGTTTCACACTAAAACATAACACATTTCACAGTACAGGTTGACTGGTTAACTTGTGTGTCCATTTCAACAGGCGTGGAACCCATAAAAGCACATAGGTGAGCAGAATTTTCCCTGCAAGATCTATAAGGAAATAGGCCAGAGTTGGAAGCCATTTATTTGGCTGTCTGAGTTCCAGCCTTCCTTCTTGCTTTTGCGTTGGTGTCAACACACTAGCACAACATTTAATCGTTGGCTGAAATTCTCCAGCGAGGTATTTTTGTTCTGCACTACAGTACGTGTTTAAGGACAAGTTCACTTGTGTGCCCGTCCTCTCATGTGTCAAAGTCAGATGAATCGTCCCCGTCTAGGAATTCCACAGTGAGGCCTGCGACGAGCTGGCGCTGGTTCGGTATCTGCAAGCACTTCGACTGCTTCGACAGTTGTGTCACAATGACGTAGCTGTTTGTAACCGCATTAACGGAAAATATTGTGGGTGTACAAGCTCTCATCTGTCAAGTGCCAACACAAGATCATAGTGCTTTTCCGGGACGGAAACTGATAATGCCATGTCCGTCGTCAACGCAGCCTTGCATTTGTCGCACTTCAGCTTTCTCAACGCGGCCTGAACCGCGTATCTTGCCACGTAAACCAAGAAAGGCAGTTTGATCCCAGTCTTGTCGCCGTTTTCCCCACATGAAGAGTAATGTTGAGGTCGGCGTTTACAACGATCGAGTTTTTGATCCATGGTGTTGGGTTTTCAAAAATGTGCACTAAAATTAACCGACCATTGCTTTCAATAGCTTGCCGAAACGCATATTTCTTGCTTCCTATGTAGTCGGCAAGATCCTATGGGCTAAGAATCTCATATCCTTCTTTGTCGCTGGCAAACGTTTCCATGCCGTCGACCACATCGGTTTTCGCGGCTCCTAAGTCGAGGCGCGTTCTTCGAGCCTCTGGGGCATCTCTTGCTTGTGACGGATTTTGCAGAGAGGTAGCCGGTACAGTTCGGGGACCTTCTCGGCACTGGCCCATGGTGCAGGCGGATGTGCTTGGATGGAACGGTCACCTGAGACACTGTAGCATGACACATGTGTTAAGTTACTCGAAGAATGTCACTCTCCTTGAAGTGACGTTCGCACACCTGAAACACAAATTTGCCTTTGTATTACTGGCAGCAATTTGTGAGCACTTTTTATTTGATTCCCACGTGACGGATGAGGTACAGGTGTCCAATAATATATTCGTGCATGAACAGGCGTGTCAACAGTTTTTCACGTGCACGTCTTTTTAGATGGATAGATGTGACGCCTCGCTTTTTTTAATATGCTTTACAGCATAAACAAAACTGAGAAAAATTTGCTGTTGCCCAGACGTAGTAATATAATTGTTTAATGAAAGACCAGCTAACCTAGCAACCTGGCACAGCACTCAACGTCATTTCCGCCCGTGAGAGGAATGACACGGGCAACACGAACTCTGTATGAATATTCCGTAAAAGTACCGGTCGAATCTCGAGTCCTCGATGTAAGCTGTCGAACGTAAACACATACTACAATCGGGCTTTGAGCACATTGATCCGTTATTAAATGACGGCCGATATGATGCCAACAGATGTAAGTCATTTGACGGAAGCTCAGGAGACTTAGGAAGCGACTGAAACTGTACAAGACACTCGGCGAATCGAAACAAGGAGTTCTTACCCGGGTCCATATCACACGAGCAAATGACGTTTTAGCGAACAGCGACATTTGAGCGAATCGATATTTTAGCGAATAACGGGGACTCTTGAGGCATCGCCTGCTTTTGTGACAATGCTCAAGGAACTAACCATCATCATGACATCGAGGTTTTCAGCTGCCGCCCTAGGCCCCAAGGGACTGAAAGCTCAAAAGATTGCTCTCCTTTTCCCATATCCGAATGATTGTGAGACTACCGCAGACAAGAAAAGATTATTGTCTGCAAGCACAGCCGAAGGGCTGAGGGTTACACTTTGAAGCACCCTCGCTTTCTTAGAGTGTTTAACAACGAAAGTGGGCTTCAGATTCCTTATGACAGCAAGAATAAGCCAAAACACTCTTGAGCAACTCTTCGGGGTCGAGCGACAAATGTCGGGAGGCAATGATCATCCGACACCTGTTCAGTTCCCGCCGTCCCTCAACACTCTGAGCTTCATGAACCTGTCGAAGTCTCCTGAGTCTGCGAACATCTCGCCTGGGCTGCTGAGCACTCTCTTGCAGATTGAGAATTCCTGTATGCGAGAGAAGACCGTACAGAGCGAAGTGGATCAGCTGCTAGACGTTGGAAACCTGGTTGTGGCACACGATGGGCTAATTGGTTGTGACCTCGGTCACAGCCCCTTGGCAACAGAAAAGAGTGGCTCCAGGTTTATTTTCTATGTTGCTGAGTACGTCGCAAGGAAGTTCCTAGCAAAATGCAGATGTGACGAGTGCCTCAACCACTTGCTGATGCCGAAAGGAGCTCCCCATCCGGCTGAAGCTTCATTGGCAAGCCACGTGACCATGGGCTGGCTACTGTACCCCTCGCAAGCACTCAACAAGCTGGTCTCATCTTTGGAGGACTTTTCACTCTCTAGAGTGGCCGAAAGGAGCTCCCCATCCGGCTGAAGCTTCATTGGCAAGCCACGTGACCATGGGCTGGCTACTGTACCCCTCGCAAGCACTCAACAAGCTGGTCTCATCTTTGGAGGACAATTTCACGCACTGCTTCAGCGTGCAACCGTTGAGGAAAAACAGCCTTACTAACTTAGCTTCATTCCTACAGCTAAGGCCTCCTGCCCTTATAGGCTCTGAGCAGCACAAGGTTTACCTAACCAACCACATCGTGTAGTTCTACTCAATCACTCGCCTCCACTTCACTGTCAAGAGAAAAAATGCGCTCAGAGAAAGTGCGAGACAGGCAAAAAATTATTTGAAGATGCGGCAGGTGCTGTGAAAACTCTGGTGGGAGTTTTAGATACTCTTTTTTTAGAGAAACCGTGCTGTTTTGACTGCTGTGAAGGACTTTGTTTTTTTAAGATGTGAAAATATTTAGGTGAAGTTCAGATCAAATAAATTCAGTTACTTTAGTCCATAGTTTTTGTTTTACTTTACGGGCACGGGTTAGTTGCTAATATTTAATAAGACAAAGTTTGCTGGTTTCGGCGGAATTCTCATATATAAAACCTAGTCTAACTTTAGAAAATAAATATGTACAGAAACGCCCACAGCGCTTGCAGAAAGGTGGAAAGTTGGCTTTTATTTTGAATTTTTTATTCACCCTAGTGTGTGTTCAAATATTGGTACGCTGTCTAAACTTGTGAATCACGTTTATAAAAAAACAAAGAAAACTCTTTTTTGTATTATGAGGGTAATCCTGAGATGCGCAGGCACGCAGCGCGTTTCTACCGCATCCCCCGCCGCATGACAGGGACCCTTGTGCGTGGCTCGTGCGTGTGGGAAGAAGTGGCGCGCATTTGAGCCTCTCCTCGGCACACCTCCCCCCTATAGCCACCGTACTTTGGGAGCGAGGAGAAGAGTCGCGCTGCTGGCGTGGTTGATGTCCTCACCGAAAATATACACGTGCGCGTCCACACGTTCACGTTTCTCGGGAAGTGTGCACGCTTTTATTACAGTGCACAACTGAATGCGTATCCCGTTTCGACAGCCTCTAAGGTAACCGCATAAAAATTGGAGCGCAATGTATCTTCGTTATTTTCTCGGTATGCTGATTAAACAAATATGAGTACCTCGTTTTTGGCATGTATGGGGCACAATGTATATGCTGATATTTTTGGAACTGCAAGAAGTTTCCTAATGAACCTGGCATTTGTTTTTCAACGCGCCATCTTCAATTTATAAGAACGCTGCTTTTCTACTTGCTTCAATCTTCGTTACTTGCCGTGTATAGTATAGTAAACGGCAGAACTGGAATTGCTTTATGGGAAAATAAATTTTATAACGTGTTGATCTTTTTTTCCAGAAGCTTGCGAATAGCTTTTTTTTAAAGATTGATTGCCATAGTCTACAAGAATGAGGCTGGCCCTGATGCTTTGGCTACTTTTCCCCGCTGTATGTAAGTATTGAACTTGTGCATTTTCTTTATGTTTTAGTTATTTTCGTCCAGTTATTTTTAGACGTGCCTCAATTAACGTAGTACAATTATCATGACGACTCTTCACTTTGTTAAACAAATGCAATTTTTATATTCATAAATATTGATTATTTAGTTCATTTACTCCCTTTAGAATTATCAGGGCCCCGGGACATTATGGACCGGAGAAGGAAAACAATACAATACGAGCGAAGAACATGACTAACACAAATATGGCATGCAAGCATTAAACAGTAGTTCGTTACATCCTTTTTAGGAAAATCCATCGATGATATTGAAAGCGTAAACTCGGAAAGGAGGTACCATTCGGTTGACCTTCTGGGTATGAACGAGTCGTCGCAGATCGACCCGCTACGACAGTAAAATATCCGTGTTTGAACTCATGATGAATGTAAAAGGAAATGTACCAGGTGCAGAAAAAGAACTAAAGCGTGACGATGAACACCCCCCCCCCCTTCCCCCCCCCCCCCCCCCAGAAAAAAATGTACCGAAGAGAAATAAGCAGCTTACATTTTAAGGCAAGGTTTCAGTAATATTTTTTTAATGAAAAACAGCCATTGAAAAAATATTTCGCGACGGAAAAAAAGAAACAAAAGCGAGATTGTTGACTTTCAGAGGCTAGGAATCGGCTATACGAAGCAGTGTGTCGAACCGCAAACGTACCGAACCGAAAACCGGAACCGATCTATTATTTTTAGCCGAACCGGAATTGAACTGAACCGAAATCTTCGACGCCATCTTGAAGCTGAGCCACAACTGAATCGGAAAAACATATAACTCTAACCATATACCGAATTGCAACATATATAGAACTGTGGGCTTTTGAGGCGCTCTTGTATTGGCACTATGACCAATAGTGTGTCCCGTGGTCACGTGACGTCGTGGTGTGAATACATGCTAACAATTAATGACACGTCAAGTGGCCCCGTGACGTGGTCATGTTAGTTATTGTGTCAAGTCGACTTAAACTGAGAGCGTCACTAGATTTACTACTGTCCCTAATAAATAAATGATAATCACGAATTCTCACCGCGAGTCACGTGACACTGTGACGTACTCGATTGGCGTGAGCCCGAGTCGAGTGCTCGGATTCATGAGGATCAGCAATGCCAAACGTTCGGGTAATGTCTCGTGTTCAATCAAGGATGGGAATAGACGAAATCTAACAATGTCTAAAGCTCTACCTATGCTCTATTCTTTGCCTACCCCAACTCACGACTATAATGAACACTGACGCTATATAATTAGCGTCAGATCACGTCGCAGCTTGTTATAATAGAGACTAGGGGAAAAAAGCTGTTTCTTTTTTTTTTTTTTTTTGCGTCTACCATTGAGCTAATATAGAAACTAATGGGTACTTTTCCAAGTTATCAACCCCAAGGATTAGTACACATAAAACCGGATATGGCATTAGCCTCCCGAGACAGTATTTTACGAAGTTTCCAGTTCGTGAAAGCCGATGTTCAAATGTGATTTATATTTGAAATATATTATCTGTCCTTCGCGCTATTTATGTGTAATTCGAAATATTATTCAATGCATCTCTATTTATTTCTTTTTGACGTAAAGTGTTGGGTATAAGATTATTAAAAAGAATATGAATTATTATCTCGCTTTCTGGACATTTGGGGTATTTGTTTTCAGATCTATTATATGAGGACACAATTCTTTTTGGCATACCCCGTGACTTTCTGTTTCACGATGCCAATCAGCGAGAAAAAAAAACGCGTTTCCGCACACTCAACAGCTGGCGTTTTCAGGTATCCTCCTCCCGTGTAAGTCTCAAACTGTTATGTGAACTTCATGAAGTCAAAATTGTTTATAGCACTAAAATAGATTTAATTACTGACTGAAGATTTTACAATATAAATTGTAAATTTATATTGTAATAAATATATTGTAATTAAAATATAAATTGCCGCTCACCCTAAATATATACACCGTAAGTAAAGGTATCCCAGATTATCTGAAATATGCTTTGCAAACCTTTTTCTGCGTTTTTATTCTTGATAGGAATGTCAATAAGTGATTTGGGAGAGCCTTAAACAAATTTCTGATCTTGAACCTGCTTTAAATAACTATGTACTGCTGGTATATATAAAACTGCTAAAACATCTAGAAGTCAGTTATTGCCTCGTTTATGTGAGGAACATCAATTTTATGTCTGTGGACAGGACAAGAAAAAAGTACACTGGGCGCGTTGCGTATTATGACGATTCCTCACGCAGACCGTCAAGAAGTTACCATTTGAGTAGCTGTAGTGTCGAGTAGAGTATGAAATACTACTTTGATCTATTTAACGAAAATCACCAATTAGCAAGGTTGATGCTTATTTGCATATTGAATTGGCCGGTATCTTGTCAATAACAAATCTCAAACGCCAAGCTATGCCGAAAATGTTCACTTCAGTGCGCGCTGCTTTAGATCAGACTCGATCTGAGTACGAAGGTGCGTATAGATTAGAGTGAAAAATTTCGGTCACTTTTTCCTGCGCGATTATTCGCCTGCATCACGGTGCTGAGTGTAAACAATTTAGGTCGAGAAAACAAGCATTGCGGCTACCGCTCAGTGTTTCTATAAACGGTAGACTGCAAGGGCTTGTGCTAAACCTTTCGTGACATTTTGAAATAGTATTTCTTTTAGATGAGTTGCGTCTTCATGATATGTATTATTAAACATAATTGTTAAACTATATTTTATGATATATACGCGAGGAGGTGCCTATTCATATGATTTTATGCACTGTAATTAATTCCCCAGTTCAAGAGCACAAATAGGATTCAATCTAGAATACTGCCAAGCAAGATCATACCAACCACGGGTATTTTAGGTGAACTATCACACTGATAGCCTTTCGATTCAGGTGAAATATACGCGACTGAGGTTAATAAATAGATGTGAAGTCGTATAAACACGACGTTTTGTACGTTAATTAAGCTTTTTTTTTACTGTTTGGTTAAAATTAAATACCGCAATTTCTTATTCTTGATACATGAAAATACAAGTGGACTGCACGAATGATAATAGGCTATAAAGTTTCTTGTTTCACAGTTGAAATAGTGTCTGTTGCCAACACAAACTGTACCGGAACTAAACCGAAAGCCGTGAACCCGAAACCGACCACGAACCCCAACTGATAAAGAAGTCAGTTCGACAGTCTGGTACGAAGAGAATTATAAAACATAAACCCCGCAACGCGAATTAGGACCGCCTCTGGGCAGACATATACAAGTGACTCAAACAAGTATTTAAGTTAAGTTACTCATCATTGGCCTAAGAATTAGTGTAAGTAGAGTAGAAGTTTACCAGGTTAAAAGTAATTGAATAAATTACTAATTACCATAAGAAGTAGCGAATTACATTTGAAATTACTTTTATACATTCTATTATATTAAAAATAAAGTACATAGATTGGATCCGTTAGCGAAATTCTGCTTGCTAAATATAAAGCGGCATGTGTTCTCACAGAATTCCTTCAAGAGTTGGTTCTGCGGCTGCGTACCTAATAGTTTTGTACTTTTTTTGTCAATGATGTGTTGCGGTTATATATTGCCGCGCGCCAAGTAGGCAGCGCGGCCGTGGCTTGACGGTTATCGCGCTTTCCTCCCACGCGAATGGCCAGGGTTCGATTCCTGGCCGCGGCTACGCATTTTTGTTTACACTGTAATGTGATGTTCTAGTAAATTCGAGAACCGTCTAGCTTATTCGAGGTTGGAATGTTCTACGCGTCGAACCTTCTACATCGAATGATCCAGAAGCCAACGCGTGTACAAAAGCGGCTCCGCCTGGCAAGCAGGAGTCAGTTTCACCCCAGCGTTCGACTCTGCTGCTACGCCGACCTCGACGCCCGCGACGCTCTGTTATTATCTTTTGTACCCTTTTATTTTGGCACAAGTTCGCCATATTAAACGTTTATTTCTTCCTGTTCATTTCTTGTTTGATGGTCACCACCCGGGACATTTTGGTGGAGGTGCGGGGTAACCGCATGCCCGTGCAGCGCTCCCCTCCGAGTTCCCGCAGTGCAAGTCCGAACACAAGCCCCCAAGAATTAAACGAAGACCAGACCGAGATCTGATTAAGTCGCCGGAACCCTGGCCATTCGCGTGGGAGGAAAGCGCGATAACCGTTAGGCTACGGCCGCGCTGCCTACTTGGCGCGCGGCATTCCTACGAACCGCCGGAGGGCACCTCATCACACCAGTCGGGAGATGCACTGCTCGCGTCGAGATCTACGGTGAGACGTGCCCTGTGAAGTTCGTCGTTCTGCAAGACTGTTCAAGGGACGTTATCCTCGGAATGGACTTTCTCTGCGAGTATGGCACCGTCATCGACCTCGGGGCAAACCAGCTGACGCTGCGAAAGCCTGTTTTACCGCCGGTGGAGACCAACACGAAGTCAACCACAATCCGAGTTATCGCCGACCATGTGACCTTACCGCCGCGGTCGAGTGTTTTCGTCACCGTTATAACCGACGCAGCCATACACGATGAAGCTCTTCTGGAAGGCAGCGTCCAACTGCTCCTTGAGAAAGGAATGGGCGTCGCACGAGGCGTAACGGATCTCCAAGAAGGACGTACAACTGTTCTTGTGACAAACTTCCGAGAGGAGCCGCAGCACCTAACGAAGGGTACCACTGTGGGTCACATTGAGGAGCTTCAGGCGCCAGTCGTGGTAACCGCAATCTCCGAAGAAACCTCCTCGCAGAACAGCATGCCGCCGCCGCCGATCGACATTGACCCCGAGCTCCCAGCTCCTACGCGCCGGCAACTGGCTGATCTCCTCGCTGAATACCGTGACTGTTTTGCCAGGTCGTCGAAAGTTCGCCAAACAAGAATGGCGAAACATCGCGTTATTACCGACGGCGACGCGCTCCCTGTCCACCAGTCGCCGTATTGAGTCTCCTTAAAGGAAAGGAAGATGATTCAGGATCAAGTCCAAGAAATGCTCGACGACGACATCATT